GGAAATAGTGTTACTATTTGAAAACTGGATGTTTGAACCTCTTTTCAACCAGATTTAGCAACAGATTCACCAAAAATATACATATATACACTTATCTGTTCAATCAGAGTTTAATAATGAATATCTGGGTTTTTAGGTGACTTTTTTTTAAATACTCCTGGTGTGTGGATGTTATGGTGGGGGTGATAGTTAAATCTTCTTCCATGGATGTTGAGTGATTAAAACATGTTTATGTGGAAGTTGCAGAGAAATATTTACTATTTTTAAGGGTTTCTTTTTTTTATCATTTAGATGTGGGTTTTGTCAGAGATCTCCCAAAAATAATTAGCCTGGGGTAAAGTGCTAAAAAAATACCAAAGCAAGAAACAGAAAACTTTTATTCACAGTATAACAATTAGCATTTTCTAACAAAAAAGTTTTCCTTTGTTTATTTTATTCAATATCTTTTGCATATATATGACATGCAGGTTTAATATGGTTGGTGGATTTACAGTTGTTATTTTCTTTGGTAATATTATAGGCTAAGTTGATCTCACGAAGACTTTGAAAACAAAAAGGTTTCATTCTTATTCTTTAGGCAGTGAGATACATGCATTACTAGTGGTTAAAAAATGTAGAGGTACATTTAAGATGTGATACACATTATGGTACATAGAAAAATAATTTTGAACTGTCAGTTGTAAGATTGAAAGCAACATAAATGTACTGTTAAACTAAATCAATAAACTTTCTAATTGGTGTTGGGAAAAAAATTTGTTTTCTTTTCTTTAAACACCAGCTGGATCTCTTTTTATTATTGTGTCTCTGTATGCGTACTTATTTCATTTTTGGAGTTTGCAGAAGTGCAATAACGATAATACATCTTTGAAACTTATATTTGAAGGTATACATAAAAGATAGGTTGACAGGTGATTATCCAAGTGAATAAAAATGTATTTTAGTTTTATCATTAGGCTTACAAACCTTATTTTGACTAAGCAGACAGAATGTGTCCTTTTTCCGAGTCTTAGTTTTTATAATTGTTGGTAAAAACATTAAGGGGAAAATTTAAAGAGCAAAACTTTTGCTAAATTTGGGTCAGCTTGGGTTACCACATTGTCCCACTAATGGAGCTGGAAATTCAACCGAAGAAACCCATTGTTCCACCTTCGTCACAGCCAATCAGCTTTGAACCACACCTCCACTAAAG